AACAGTGATTTAAGCAGCGATGCTTTTAAAAGTGAGTTTTATCAAGTTCGTAGAATATTTATACAGATTCAAATAATATTTACATCACGGAAAAGCCGCTTTCTTACGAAAATTGATCTTTGATAATTGGCCGGCCTTCTTCGCTAGGCGTAGTACGTCGCCGCTGTTTGCTTGTTCACCTGGAACGGATCTAGCGGAAAGCCGGTTTGCCCGGCGGAGAATACAAGATTCTCCTGGAGCGGGTCTAGCAAAAGAGCCGGTTTGCCCGGCGGAGAATACGAGATTCCCTTGGAGCGGGTCTAGCGGAAGAGCCGGTTTGCCCGGCGGAGAATACGAGATTCCCTTGGAGCGGATCTAGCGGAATGCCGGTTTTTCCGGCGGAGAATACAAGATTCCCCTGGAACGGAGCGGAGCGGAGGCCGGTTTACCTGGCGGAGAATCAGAGATTCCCCGGAGCGGAGCGGAACAGATGCCGGTTTACCTGGCGGAGAATCAGAGATTCCCCGGAGCGGAGCGGAGCGGAGCGGAGCGAAGCAAAGCGGATGCCGGTTTACCCGGCGGAGAATCAAAGATTCCCCGGAAACGGAGCGGAGCGGATGCCGGTTTACCCGGTGGAGAATCAGAGATTCCCCGGAGCGGATCTAGCGGAATGCCGGTTTACCCGACAGAGAATACAAGATTCCCTTGGAACAGAGCGGAGCGGAGGCTGGTTTACCCGGCGGAGAATACGAGATTCCCCTGGAGAAGATCTAGCGGAATGCCGGTTTTCTTGGCGGAGAATACAAGATTCCCCTGGAACGGAGCGGANCGGAGCGGATGCCGGTTTACCCGGCGGAGAATTGATTGATTGATTGATGCTTTATTTAAACGCTCTGGGATGTGATCCCCTCAAGCGTACATGTTTATAACNAAATTACAAAAAAAGAAACAAAGAAAAAAATATAGAAAAACTAAGAAAAAAAACAAGTGAGTAAAAAGAGTAACAGAAAATCAAAAACAAACAAAAATAAATAAATATAAATAAAACCGCTAAATAGTTACAGAGAATAATTAACAGTTTAGATTGTGTTGCAGTAAATTTACAAAAACTTTGCTTTTAAAGGCGATAAAACGCTCATTGCGAATGTCCACTGGGATACTATTCCAGATGTCCACAGCAACACATTTGTAAGCCCGTCTATACAATTCTGTACGACACAACGGCAAAATAAGAGTTCTGCTATCTGCTCTAGTATCATGATGCGTTTGTGAATCCCTGAAAGTAAACTTTTCATAGAGGATTTGAGGTCTTTTGGTTTCCAGACTTTTATAGAGTAAACAGCCGACAAAAAAGGTTCGTCTCAGTTTGAGTTTTAACCAGCGCNACTTCTCATAATGCGGAGTAATATGTTCATATCATTTAACCTGGAAGATGAACCTTACGCAGTTGTTAAAGGCCCTATGCAGTCGCAGATTTTCCGATTCCGTCAGGTCTGTTACTAAGGAGCAACAGTAATTGAAGATGGGATAGATTAAAGAAGATACAAGTCTTGACCGCACCTGAGGTGAGAAGAGATGCTTGTAGACCTTCAGGCGATACAAAGCAGTGTTGGCCCGCAGAGTTATTTTTGTAATATGACGATCCCAAGACAAATTACTGGTCAAGGTAACACCAAGATACACCACAGAGTCGCTCCAAGGAATAAAGGTGCCATCCACCACAATGTGCATGGTATTTAAATCAATACTATTAATATATCTTGCCGTACCAAAGACAATTGCCGATGTCTTGCTGGCGTTCAATTTCAGTCCATTTGTTGTGGCCCACTTAACCACATTACAGATATCGGTATTAATTTTGTCTAACGCAGCATTAAGAGAAAATGGTTCAGAATGTAGATAAATAAGCAGATCATTGGCATAATAATTGTATTTACAATGCCGCAGGATCTTGCCAAAATCTGATACGTATAGTGCAAAAAGAAGTGGTCCGAGGACTGATCCTTGAAGAACACCTTTGAATATCGGTAGTTTCGCTGACAATAAGTTGGTAGTTGAGTCACGCATTGCTTGCATTCTGCCATAGAGATAGGAACANATCCATCTCAAAACGGAGTTAGAGAAATTCATTTCTTTTAATTTCACAATCAAGCGTTGATGGTTAACATTGTCGAAGGCTTTAAAAAAATCGAAGAATACTGAAACAGTAACCTTCTTTACATCCGCAGCCTCTCTAACATCATCAAGAACTCTAATGAGCGCAGTTTTAGTAGAGAATCCTGTCTGTAGGCATTCTAATATGGATCTAGCAAATCATTGGTTTCAAGATATTCCGACATCTGTCTNGCTGCAATTCGTTCAAGTNCCTTTGACAGCACACAAAGAATAGAGATTGGCCTGTAGTGTTGTAGCTCAGACGGTGCTTTTATCTTTGGAATGGGACAGACTATCGCAGATTTCCAGATAGTNGGAAAAACGCCATTGTTCATATTATAATTAAAAATATGAGTCAAAATTGNAAGAATGCATGGTAAGGTCAACTTAATTAGTTTTCGCGATACTCCATCTTCTCCAACTGAAGTTTAGGCGATAGTAGATATAGCACCTCTCACTGTTGCATCCGCAATATTAGCCTAGTAAACTTTTGATTTATCATATGAAGGCTCACCAAGATAGACATCATCNNCGTCAGGCGCATCAGAAAGATGCCTGAGTAAGAAATTATTAAAGTTATCAANTGAGAAAGGAAGGCTATTTGTATTTGTTTTACTTAATTAGACCAAGCTGTCGAAATTTCATCNAAGTATAAGTAGGCTTCTTGAGATTACTAAAGACAGACAAGTAATAATTCTGTTTAACCTTGCGTACTATGTCTTGTAGTTGATTCCTTAGTACTCTAAAAGAATTGTAATTTGAATCTGTTTTGTGTCTTTTCCATTTCCTCCGACTTCTGTCTCTTTCAGACATCTTTGNCTTTATGTAAGGAGTAATCCATGGTGCAGGTAAGCGCTTGGGATGTATTGTTTTGAGTGGCGCATGTTTGTTGTAACAATTTAATAAGTATTTATTAAGCAGCAGTATCTTCTCGTCAATATTCTCAGCTTGGAGCAATGCATCCCAATCACAGCCAGCCAACTCGCTTAGAAAAACTTCATTATCAAATGCGGTGAAATCTCTAACGGTAATTATTCTAGCGGAGCATCGTTTGATATAGATATTGAAAGTGATGTCTATTAGATCATGAGAGGAGAGAAATCCAATGGAATGCTGCTGAAAAGATACAAGTTTCTCCGCGTCATCTACTATACACAAGTCCAACAATGTAGCTGAGTTAGCCGTATGGTGAGTTGGTGCATACGGAACGAGATACATGGATGATGTAGTAATGTAAGTCATTATTGAATTAGAATCGTATGAAGTTTGCATGAGATCAGCGTTGAAGTCACCGAAAATTACACAGTGTCTGTATTGTACCGAAATGTCTGCAACTATGTTAAAGAAATCAGTTAGATGTCCACAGTGTGGTGGTCTATAAACAACTGCAAGCAACACCTTCTCATCTCCAGAAGAAATTTCTGCAATTAGAAATTCAGGTTTTNGGNTGTAGTCACTTCCAGAAGTTTTCAAAATTCTAGCGTTAAGTGTATTTGCCAGAAAAAACGCAACTCCACTCCCAGACTTACCAGTCCTGTCGTATCTAAATAACTGATAGCCGGATAATTCAACCATTTGATCATGTATGGCAGGTTTAAGCCAAGTTTCCGACAAACAAATGATGTCATACTGAGAGTCCGTNAAAAATAATCGAAAATCATCGAGATACGCCATCAAAGACTGGCAGTTCACATGACAAACTCGAAGCAGATGCTGCTCAGTGTTGTCGCTATACATAATTTATGCTATTAATTTTTTCTTGTAATTTTTTGATTAAGATAGNGCAGGTTTTACTATCAAATGCTAATTGATGCGAGCAGACTCTAAGCCACCTACAACAGTTGCCACATNTCGCATCTTCATTTTTCCCAGGACAATTCATTGTCTCATGATCCTTGGCACAATGGCCACATAACGGAGCAGATCTGCAGTGTCTGGCCAGATGTCCAAAAGTCAAGCATTTAAAACATTGAAGTATACGAATATAATCTTCAAATAAATAGGCTGAATATTTTATATAAATATGCGTCTGTTGACGCACAACAGGNTACGTATAGCCGGTGATATCTCAACAATACAACTAGTATAACGACGTTCAGCCTTAGGCGGAAATATGTAGACAACGTTAACACTGGACACATCTTGTTTATCCAGGTTAAGGGCGATGATATCCGATTTAATTTCTTCTTTAGATAGGCCAATCGGTACTCTGCCTATAATGATACGCGGATTGGATAAGGAATCTGCACGATTTTTAGACCAGNATCCGCAAGCTCACTNGATTCTTTAATCCTTGGTAAATCAACAGTAAGTGCTTTAATACGCACGCCATTATTGCGAGTAGTAGAAATTTTGTTCACTTTGAGATTATAATTTGCAGGCTCAATAATTCTCTGAAAAACCTCTCTTGTATCTTTTGATGTGCTGTATTTCGCTTCATTATCCTTGTTAGGTACAACCAAGATATCAGTAGACTTGTTCGCTATAAGAGTAGGGCCACGTGCAACCTGCACGGTAGGGCACGTAGCTTTCACCGCNTTAGCATAAGAGCAAATAGGCGAGAAACCATTAGACGACATTAGTCCTGCAGATTTATGCTGAAGTGTATCGACCTTGACTTTAGAAATAACCTCAGTAATCATCTCNCTAACAGAGTCAATGGCAATAGAAGAAGTACTCATGTCCTTTTCTAGTAGAACTAAATAGGCAGTAGCAAGTTCAGAAAAAGCCTCCTTGCACGTTCGAAAAGCAGACTCAATTTGCATTTTTCTGTCCAGTGAATCTTTACTTGACAGTAGCAGTTTAGATACCGATTTATTGTGATCATTAATAGAACGCTTTAGAGCGTTACCTGTAAAGGCGCTCATCATTATTCCAGTAAACAAACCGCAAGAACTTACATTAGACAGTAACGCAGACGAAGATCGCTGCCTTGTTATGCCGCCAGGTAAACAACCGTTGTTGACATTGCCAGCCCGAGAACCGTTACCTNGACTAGCAACGGGTGAGGGAGAAATCTTGTGCGTGGGCATATCATAAGCCAATCAGCAGATCCGCCGCCGCCTCGCAGCCACCAGAACACAGAAGAAAAGAGGGGAGGAAGGCAGGCCTCTTCAATTGTCCGCAAAGCAATTAACCGAAAATGACAGATTGAAAAACGGAAAAGCTCAAAAAAATGTACTAGCCGCGCGCACAATGTCGCCAAAAATGAACAGCAGACAAACAAGAGCCTTAGTCTGTACTCACTGAAAAAATCAGCGCCCCGAA